TGGTGAGTGCCTATGGATGGGGCCTCTGCACCCACCCCAATGTCAGGTGGATCTGTAGCCCCAACTAATCAGACTTAGGTCTTAGCCAGCAACACCTGTAGCCAGGTGCAGGGGGTCTTGGGCTGAGAGTACCACCCCTCTCCAGCATGGACCATGCTCTTACTCCCACATTGTAATTATCTTGCCATCCTGGGCTGTCTTAGTGTGATCAAGTATTGGTGGCCTCAGGGCTGCCCACCCCATTCCTAACTCAACCAAGGCAACACACACGGACAGGGTTGTTTCCTTAGGAGTCCAAAACATAGCTGGATGCCGACTGAATGCGTGGGGGACTGGGACTGGGCCCCTCCATGGCGAGGTCCAGAGCTGGGCAGAACCTTGCATTGCCTGATCACGAGGTAGTGACAGTGGATAACACATCTGGGCTTACTCCAGTCCTGTGTAGAAGCTTGAGAAAGGACACTGCCCTCTTCAATTCACACAAGCTATGAAGAGCAGATTTGGGACAAATACGGCTTTAGGGTGCCATCTAGTGCTGGAGCAATGGAAATGCCCACAGGTTCAGAGAAAATAAGCAGACTGCTTTGAATAAAAATGGAAGGGCAGACAAAAACAAATCCAGATTACAAAGACTGGAATAAATATCCAATCCTTCAATGCACAGAAAATGTATGAAAACAAGCATCAGGATCTTTCAGGGAAAAATAACCTCAACTAGTGAAAAACTAAGGCACCGGAAACTGACCATATAGCAACTGAAATCAACAAACTGTCAAAGAATTCAATGTAGCTGTTTTACGGTAACTCAGTAAACTTCAAAAAAACACAGAGAAATAACTCCTTACACTACCACAGAAATAGTTTTCTTTAAAGCTCTTGTATTACAAATAGAATCACTCAGGGTCAAATAGTAAATTACACAGGAAATTAGAATCAAACAATATAACAAAATACTAAAACTTATGGAAGGAAACTAACAGTAGATAGAGGGAACTTTATAGTTTATTTTATTTTATGTTATTTTTTTTTTTGACAGGCAGATTGGACAGTGAGAGAGAGAGAGACAGAGAGAAAGGTCTTCCTTTTTCCCTTGGTTCACCGTCCCCCCCCCCCCCCCCCATGGCCGCTGCAGCCAGCACGCTGCGGCCGGCGCACTGCGCTGATCCAAAGCCAGGAGCCAGGTACTTATCCTGGTCTCCCATGCAGGTGCAGGGCCCAAGGACTTGGGCCATCCTCCACTGCACTCCCAGGCCACAGCAGAGAGCTGGCCTGGAAGAGGGGCAACCGGGACAGAATCCGGCGCCCCGACCGGGACTAGAACCCGGTGTGCCGGCGCTGCTAGGTGGAGGATTAGCCTAGTGAGTTGCGGCACCAGCGGGAACTTTATAGTTTTAATGGGTTATTTTGGAAAAGAAAAAAGACCTCATCAGCATCATTTTTGAAAAGTTGCTCCTTTTTCTAATCTACATTCTTAGCACCTTCACTGAAGATTTATCAGTTGACTGTACACATGTAGGTTTACATCCAGGATCTCTCTCCTGTCTCATTGATCCGTGTCATTTTTGGCAGTACTGTGTATTATAATTACCACAGCTTTGTAGACTATTTTTAAATCTTTTTTTTTAAAGATTTATTTTATTTATTTGAATGAAAGAGTTAGAGAGAGAGGGAAAGACAGAGAGAGAGAGGTCTTCCATCCGCTGGTACACTCCCCAGATGGCCTCAATGGCCGGAGCTGTGCTGATCCGAAGTCAGGAGGCAGGAGCCTCCTCCTGGTCTCCCATGCAGGTGCAGGGGCCCAAGGACTTGGGCCATCCTCCACTGCTTTCCCAGGCCATAGCAGAGAGCTGGATTGGAAGAGGAGCAGCCAGGACTAGAACTGGTGCCCATATGGGATGCCAGTGCTTCAGGCCAGGGCTTTAACCTGCTGTGCCACAGCACCGGCCCCTGTAGACTATTTTGAAGGCAGGTAGTGTAATACTTTTTGCTTTACTCTTTTTGTTGGGATTGCTTTGGGGTTGTCTTGTGATTCTGAATTAATTTGGGAGATTCATTTTTTCTACTTCTTTGAGACTGTCATTGATATTTTGATAGAGATGTTGTTGCAGCTGTAGGTGGCTTTTGGTTGAATGGACAATTTAAAAACTTTGCTTTTCTTCCTAATCCATGAACATCTATCAGTTACTTTCGTCAATGCCTTATAATTTTCATTGTGGAGATCTTTCACCTCTGTGATTAATTTCATTCCTAAGTGTTGTTCTGTTTTGTTTTTGTAGTTATTGAAAATAAGGTTGCTTTCTTGGATTTTCTATATTAATTCACAAATGAAATATAAGAACAGTACCTATTTTTATATCCTCCAACTTTTCCATTTATTTGTTATAATTGTTTTTGTGCACTGTTTGATGTTTGCTATGTGTAAGATCCTGTCATCTGCAAATTGAGAATCGTTTGACTTATACATTTCCAATTTGGATGTCTTTTTTCTTCTGCTTAATTGCTCTGGCTAAGATTTTCAGCACACTGTGTGAAACTATATGTCCTTGTTCCAAATATTACAAAGCTGTCAGTTTTTCCCTCTTCAGTATAATGTTCGCTGTTGGATTATTGTACATAGCATGCATTGCAATGAGGTATATTCCCTCTATGCTAAACATTTTAATCATGGAGAGTGTTAATTTTATCAAATGCCTTTTCTGCATCTACTGAGTTATCAGATGGTTTTTGTCCATCTGTTGATGCGTTGTATCACATTTATTGATTTATGTATGTCGAACTCTTCTTGCATCTGTGAGATAAATCCCACCTGATCATGGTGAATCATCTTTGTAATACATTACATTTGGTTTGCTAGTGTTTTGTTATGGGTTTTTGCATCCATGTTCATCAAAGACATTGGCCTAGACATTTCTCGTATTGTTTTTTCCTTCTTTTGTTCTGTATCAAGGAATTGCTGGCCTCATAGAACAAATTTGAAAGAACCTGTTACTGGTCGCGCAGGGGAGGGTGGTTACCAGAGTGAGTTTCCTGGCTTCTTTTCCTCCACTGAGTGTAGAAATAAAAAGCTGGGAAACAAGTTGCAAAGAAGCAGATGCTTTTCTTACCTGTGTTGCAAGACAACAGAAGAAACATCTCCTCTGATCAGAATGCCGGAATAGGAACTGACTTTTGGGAAGTGCCCTGGGTTTTTAAGGTCTCACTGGGTTTTCTATGGGGTCCGCCTATGGGGGCGCCTATTGGAGCATACATAATGTATGATCCTTGGCCTGGGACCCTTGGAGATAGTGGGGGTCCCTTGGTGACAGCCAGATTCCCCTTAGGGGCCTCAGCACTCCCTCCCCTGCTAGTCTGGGTGGCAGATTGCAGCTAGCTTGAAGCTGTGGTTCAAACCACAGGCTCCCACGTACAGAATGGGCAGCTCTAGTGGGGAAAGCTGCTAGCAGGTCTCGAAGCAAGCCTCCCAGCCACAGCCTGCAGCCTGCTAAAGACACCCAGCCTAATTGAATGGCCTCAGAACGCCTTTCCTTTTTTGGAATAATTTTAAGAAGCGATGGTATTAGCTTCTTTTTTAAAGATTTATTTAATTTATTTGGTGGGCAGAGTTACAGAGAGGGAGACAGGGATATCTTCCCTCTGCTTCTTCACTCCCCAAAGGCCACAAAGGCTATGGCTGGGCCAGGATGCATCCGAGAGCCTGAAACTCCATCCAGGACTCTCCATGGGGATGACATGGCTCTGTGCGCTTGGGCAATCTCTTGCTCCTTCCCAGGTGCCTGAGTAGGAAGCTGGATCGGAAGTGGAGCAGCTAGACTTGAACCATCGCTCATATGAGATGCCAGCCTTGCAGGCAGTGGATAAATTTGTGAAGCCACAACGCTGTCCCCATATTAGTTCCTTAAGTGCTTGGTAGAATTCAGCAGTGATGACTTCGTCCATGGCTTTTCTTTGCTGATTCATAGAACAGCATAACTTAAATAATAAATCCTTAAGTAAACTGATGAATTTAGTTAATAATAATATGTGTGTATACATACACACACACACATATAGCTTCATCAGTTGTAAAAAAGGAACCACATTATTTAAACATATTAATAATAGCAGAAATTTTGTTCTGGAGACAGGGGACATACGAAAACTGCTTAATTTATCTGTAAACAGAGAACTGTCCTATGATTAAAGTGTATTAATTTTATTGTCAGAATGCAATCTGAAAAATTAAATCACTGGTGGTATTCTGTAGCAGCGTGATTAACACTACACATTGAGGTGGCCAACCCAGAGTTCTAGAAGTTGGTGATTTTGAAAGAGGGTGTGAAGGTGTTGAGTGTTCTAGTGGGTAGTTAGAGCAGTTGGAGAGCAGTTAGGTCAGTTAATTGCACTTGGTTTTCCTTAAATCAAGAATCTCTACCTTCTGATGAGCTTTTACTCTGCTCCCAACCTGATTGGTTAAAGCTAGGTTTGTTTTCACAAAGGGACCAATCGGAGAACCACTTCCTGTTTATAAAGGGCAGACACCAGCAAGCTGCTTTGGCAACTCCTCCCTTGAAGCCTCCTCTCTGACTGTTGTGGCAGGAGGCTTCTCACTTTCAATAAATCTTGCTTTGCTCACTGTCCCTGTCTGCATGGAAATTCTTCAACATGAGACAAGAACCAAGATCGCCCTTGTCCTCATCTTCCCCCAGCAGTTTCTATGGCTGTGCCCTGAGACTCGGGTCATGGGAATAATCCCGGAATCCACATGGTAGGCCAGTTAGGTCTACGTAGAAGTTGTCTGTTCTCTGGATAGTGCAGGGAGACCAGGGGCATCAGGTAAGGGCAGAGCTTAGTGTACTTGGGAGACTGTGAGACTCCACAGCCATCCAGTAGCAGCCACAGGTCAAGGAAAAGGAAGCTCCTGCGAATTGAGGGCTACAGGGTGAGCTTCCTGCCTGAAAAGGAAAAGCAGGTCCAGAGACTTCACTAAATTTTATTTTTATTTCTTTGTGAAGCAAGGAAACAGTGAGATAGACCAACAGGAATGCCACCTCCTGGTTTACTCTCCAAATGTCACCAACAGCCCTTGGCTAGGGGCCAAAGAATGGAGGCAGGAACTTAGCCTGGGTTTTCCATGTGGGTTGCAAAAACCCAGCTACTTGAGACATCACTTGCTGCCTGCCAGGGTGCACATTAGCAGGGAGCTGTATCAGGGAGCAGACCCAGGCCTGGCGCTCAGCTGTGGGGTGCAGGCATCCCAATCCTACATGTTAACCACTAGGCCAGCAGTCCAAATCTGAATTTGGTAAATTTTGAGAACCAGAAACCAGAAGAAAAAGGCGGGTGAGGGCCAGAACATCGTGCAGTGCTCTTGAACAACCAACCTTTTCCACTACCAGCCACCTGCGAACTGACGACCCCACAGAGAGGAAACGCTGTAAAGCCCTAGACTGCTCCCTGGGGTTGGAAGACGCTTCACACCCAGCTCCCACTGAACACATATTCCAAATTCCCTGGCACTGGAGGCATGACGTCTTGTTCCTTGGCAAGTTGGGGGGTTGACACCGCGACTGAGACGGGGCCACTCGGTGCCTGGCCCCCTGGGCCTGTTCTCCCCAGGGCCTCAGTGACCGCTGGCTGCAGGTGAGCGCCCCAGGCCCTCAGTCCACAGTCCTCTCCTTGACATTCTTCCTTGCACATCACACACAGAATCACGCAGGAGCCCGGGGCGGGAAACCGCGTCCTCAAGGAAGTCGCCCGCACATGGAACCCGGTGGCGACCTGGGGGTCCCCGTCCGCGGTGAGCCCGCCCAAGCCGTGCAGCTGCGCCCGTCGCTGGCGTCCGAGGTTCTGGCCCCGCAGCCGAGGGCCCCGCAACCCGGCAAGTCCTCCCACGCTGTCCTTAGGGTGACCCCTGGGGCGAAAGGTCTCCTCTGAAAGAAAGAGTGCGGTCCCCAGATCTCAGACCCGAGACTCCTCCTCCCGACGCCTCACCACCGGGACTCGCCGGAGGCCCCCGGACAGCCCCTTCCCCAGTAGGGACAGGCAGATTCCCCTCGGCTTCCAGCCTCCCCACTGCAGTCCCCCGCAGGCATATCTGAGACCACCCCCCCCCCCACCCCCTCGGTCTCTCAAGACTCTCTCCCTTCACCCGGAATCCACCCTCTGCTGCACCAGTCTTGGAGCTGGCATCCTCCTTGTTACTGACCAGCGTTGTCTTCTTTCTTGGCACAATCTCTCCTTCTTTGGACAAGGTCTTGTTGTGTCCCCTCCCTCTGCCTGCTCCAGGAGAAGTCACCCAGCCTGAGCTGGGCCAACGAGACCCAGATTCCTGCAATGTGAGAACAGAGGGAGCAGCGACCAATGGTTCAAAAATCTCTGTGGATGGGGTTTTTGCCTGGCAGGGAAGTTGCCTCTTGGTACGCCTGCATCCCAGATCACACTGCCTGGAGTCCAATTCCAGGCCACTCCTGATTCCAGCTTCCTGTTAGAGCACACCCAGGGAGGCAGCAGGTGATAGTTAGGTCTTTGGGGCCCTCCATCCGTGGGAAAGGATTGCATTCTTCGGTCTAGCCCAGCCCCGCCCACTGTGGGCGTTGAGGAAGTAATCCCACAGAAGGGGGCCCTCGTTTTCATACTCTTTCCCACTCCCTCTCCTCCTTTACCCTCTCAGATAAATAAATAAAATGTAAAATGTGTGTTTCATATTTTTCCCACTTGAGAGAGGCACCAAGGACACTAGTCTGTTTCTGCTGTGTATACCCAGTGTGGATGATCCATGAATTCACATAATTATGAATGGAGTTGTGCCAAGTTCTAACAATATGCATCATCCAGCCTTCTAAGAACTCTTATTAAATTTTGTCTCTGTCTCATCAGCAACATTCGTTTCTTCGCAAAGTTCTATAGATGGCTTCTGCTGCAGGCTGCTTCTTCAAATCCCTTCGTCCCTTCTGAACTTGAGATCTCCATGTATGTGAGGCACCATTGCCATAAACATTTTGTAATATGTCAATGACTTCACCATTCCTCTATCTAAACTTCATCATAAACATGGTCCTTGGGCATGCTCAATTGTAACAGAATTCATGTTGTTCCATTAGGGACTCTTAGTTACATCTCTTAATGCCTCAAACTAGATCCTGGCAAGATGCAATCTTGTACAATGTATGGAAGCAATGAGTGGCCCAAGGGAACTAGGACTCTCACTTTTGAGCAGCCAGTGAGCATTCACACTCACATATTTAATTGTGTAGTCTGCAAATGAGGTGTATTTGTGTTAAAATAACACAGGTAAGTGAATAGAAAAGAAGAAATTGAATAATGTCATTGATCATCATGGTGGTCAAGGTTTGAGGTTGAAGGTATAATTTAAAATTCATTAACCCCCTTAAAAAGTAAAGATACTCTGCACAGTTTGCACATTCTGTGCCTGCACATGGGATGTGGCAGAAACCACACGGGACTAGCTGTATGGTGTTCAACATGCTGGTTGTGGCATCAACCACTTTCCTGCTGATTTTCTTTATCTGAAGCAAAGTGATGACTTTTCCTACCTCCCAGTAAGGGATGTACTTAGCATGCATCTTGCACATTCAGAAACAAACTACAAAGAAGATGACCCTTACCATCTCCCAATCTCCCAGGGAAGAGTGGGAAGGCCATGAGAAAAACCCTAGATGTGAGAGTCAGAAGACACATCAGACAGCATCCAAACTCATTTCCACCTTTTACCAAGAAGGTGATGGGACTATTACTTACCTATGGCCACATGTCCTGTTTTTTCTTAATATTTATATATTTATTTGAAAGACAGAGTTACAGAGAGGCAGAGGAAAGAGAGAGAGAGAGAGAGAGGTCATCCATCCACTGGTCCACTCCCCACATGGCCACAATAGCCAGAGCTGAGCTGATTTGAGGCCAGGAGCTAGGAGCTTCCTCTGGGTCTCCCATGCAGGTGCAAGGGCCCAAGGACTTGGGCCATCTTCTACTGCTTTCCCAGACCATAGCAGAGAGCAGTTCAGCCGGGGCTCAAACCAGCATCCATGTGGGATGCTGGTACTGCAGGCGGCAGCTTTACCAGCTACATCACAGTTCCAGCCCCTACATGTCCTGTTAATGACAACCCACAACTAGAACACAGGCCTCAGGTCAATTCCATAAAATTCAGAGGAAGGATCTAATCTGGAGGCCTCAAAAGTCAGTACAGGCTGTTGCAACACTTTAGCTAGGGCATTAGTATTTTTTTTTCATAATAAAGTCTTCCAAGTGTCTTCCAAAGGTGCTCAGGAATCAAAGAAAAAGGAGAAAATCAAAATGAATAAAGAGAATAGGAATTGTAACTATGGCCCAAATTAATGCCCTAAATCCTTGCTGTTGATCCCACACCAGGTTAAGCTTTGAAGCATTTCTAGGTAGATAGGTAGACCAAGAGAGATCTGATGTGAAAAAGGTCAGTTTCTATTTTAATAGATTCACTCTACTCCATTTCTTTTTCTCCAGAGTTCTCCTTAGGGGGAGATAGCTTTTAATTATTCCAGTGTCAACAAAGGCATAAAGAAATATCCATATTCAAACACGTCCTGAGTGTGAATTCTAATTTTTGATTATATTCTCCCTAGGGCAATGCAAACTTAGAATTCTCATTGCGGAATTCACTAATGATACTAACTGACCAAATAAAGAATTGTCATACTGTGGTGTCAGACCAATTAATGAGCTGTGAAATTGCTTTTGTGGAATGTAGCCTGCAAGTTTTATTTAAAAAATTAAAAAGAAAATACAAAACTCCATTGTGTGTAATAAGTATTTTTTGGATGCTGTGTTTCTTTAAAATGGCTATTTCCTGTGTTGTCTTACATTCTAAAGTGTGCAGGTATGCATCAAATAAAAATGCTATAGTCTACTCCATCCAACTATGTGCTTTTTCTGCCAATTTTTCTATGTTATGCAAATAGTACTGTTGGTAGGGCAATACAAATTCCATGAATGATTGATGGATATTGGGACATTTCCACGATGCTGACCTGAAATATGGTAGATTACATGTCCTTACTACTAGCTGTGTATTAGAATCACCTGGGAGATTTGAAACAAATCTGATACCCAGAATATACCCTGAACCCTTTAGATGCGAATCTCAAATTGTGAGTTCAGGGAACTCATCTTAATTAGCATCTCAGCAGGTGTTTATTGCTGAACAGTGTGGCTCAGAAAGACCAAATGCACTCTGCAATTACCCACCATTCCATTTGCTGCTCCCCATTTCTCGCATGTTGGCTTCTTTCCCACTGGCCCTGTGGAATTCAGTCTTCCTTCTCGACATTTCAGTTAAGTTATCCTTGTTATCTGAGCAGGCCTGAGGCAAAGCCTGTCTTGTATGCATGTCTACCATCTCAAGTCCTCGTCTCCCAGAGTCAATTCATTAAAATGTTCTATAATCCCAGGCCTCGACAATCATCTGATTGCATTATAAACTCTTAACTGACTTGTAGAATTGCAAATGGGAGTCAAAAGAGAGAAGTGGGAATTCCTAAGCACCTCACGATCTAAGCAGGTTTGAAGCTCTGCACTATGCAGTCACTTTTGGACTATAGTCCCTTCAGGGTGCCATGTAGTGTACTCAAGTTATTGTCAGCTAACATGCATCTATGGGTGCAGACATGGAGTCACTGGAACCCCATGCACATTGTAACTGATGCGTATATGTGGGGATGAAGAGCAAACTCATTCTGGGCCAGTAGAGAACTCCCAGCTGGACTCGGGTTCTATTTAGCTGGTGATCTTGAGCTCTTCTCAAATCCAATACTTCTAATTCATATCTACAAGTAAAGGTTCAGTTAATTGTGTTTCCTGAAAGAAGGCCCAAGGGCAGGGTCCATGTGCATGTAGTTTCTGAAGGCAATGCTCACAGAGGAAGGAGGCAATGGCGTTGAGGAAGCAGCAAAGGGAGAGAAAGGAGGGAAGTAATTGTGCGGTTTTAGGCAAGGTAATGTTTAGCAGCTACAGGATAGTAGCTTTAGATGGTAATGAGGACTACGGGCTGGGCCTGTCTGTGGGTATGCCAGGGAACATTGGGACAGCAGCGCTGGGATTGGAGCAGAGCTCAGAGTGCAAACAGGAGATGAAGAAAGAAGGGACTGGCAGAGTGGCAGCCTGTGGGACACCGAGGTCAGACCAGGCAGAGGTTACCCCAGCTGTTTGAGAGAACAGAGAGGGAGAATGAGGCGTAATCTCACTGGAGGGTACTACGGAGCCGGTGCATCTAGAAGAACAAACAGGATCACCTCTGCGTCCTCAGCTGTAAGTCCTGGGAGTCTGCACACTGGTTTCCACTTGTTGGGCTGCAGGTTTTTTTTGATAGTCTTCTGTTTGGAGCTGCTTAAGCCATCAGTGTGGCCAATGACTTGATTCTCCTGCGTGCTAGCAGCTGAGCATCCATGAGCATCACACTCCAGCATGGGAAGGCTCTTCACTACAAGGGAGCATCCAAATCCAGCTCTGAAAATAAAACCACAGCCATCAGGATCCACAGTTATCCATGATCTTCCTGTGACATTTTGTCCCCCACAAAATGGACATCAAATAAGGAAATAGGCCTTAGACAAGAAAGTCAAAGGGCGAGATGAAGCCTATAGGGAGAATAAGATGTTTTCATTTTGTTGATTTTTATGTTTCCATTAGTGATAAAATTACCAGGAGGGAAATGTGTTCTTATTTTTAAAAATATTCAAGAAAAATAATATTAATAAAACAACATGATTTCTAGATATTTAAGGCAGAGAAAGGAAGTCACCCTAGACAGGTGTGCATGGGAATGTAAGAGGTATAACAATGCAGAGAAGTTAAGGATGAAGGACCTCAGAAGAAGAAATGACTGACAAAGATGACACTCAGAGAATTCACAAAACTTACATTAATATGTGATGTATTTCACATTAACACACTCCATATAATACACCTAAAAGTCATGTATAATGTATGTGACATAAGACAAATGTTCCCATCCATATATATTTATCTAGTTGAAATTATTATGGAGAGATTTGGGAGATACTAAAAATAACATTAAATCAATATTGCAGTCAATTATATGAATACATTTGAAAGGGTTGGAGTTTGGTGTAACGGTTAAGCTACTCTTTGCGACACCTGCATCTCATGTCAGATCACCTGGGTTCACATTCTGACACTGCACCGATTTCAGTTTCCTGAAATTGCATAACCTGGGAGGCAAAAAGGATTACCCGGGTCCCTGTCACTCATGTCGGAGACCAGGATTAAATCTCTGGCTCCTGACATTGTCCTGGCTCAGCCAAACTGTTACAGGCACTTGGGGAATGAACTAGTGGGTATAAGATCTCACTGTAACTTGCTCTCTCTTGGATCTTCGGCCTTTCATGTTAATTAGATAAATTTTTAAACATTTAGACGCTGGAGAAGAATGAGAGAGAGAGAGAGAGAGAGAGAAAGAAAGAAAGAGAAACTGTTAGACACGGAGAACCTGTCAAACTCCAGGTATAAAAACAGGCAGTGGAGTGTGAGAATTAATTAAATTAAAAAGGCAAAAAAAGCTTTCAAAACCCCCTTGTCTGCAAAACTTCATCTGGCATCTAGCTTGCTGCTCACGTGTCCATGGAAAGTGGGCAGAGCTGAGTGACTGAGTCAGTCGGTGAGTCTTGGCTGAGAGTGTGGGACTGTAAGGAGAAGGAACACAGAGATCAGGTAGGAGTTGGGGGAGAAAGAGAGGAGTGAATAGGACAAGTGCGTGTCAGGGACCATGTAGTCCTCACTGTCAGTGAGCACTTTCCATGAGACTCTGCAGGGTGCGAGACTGGCACTCATACCTCTGGGGATCCTCAGCTCTCCTGAGGACATGGGTCTCCTCATTCCTCCAAGGAGGGCATCACCTGTTGTGAGCCACAAGGAGTCCCAGAGGCTCCAGCAGAAGTGGAGAGGATGAACAGGACCCAGATGGAATGGATGTGAGGGGAAGGAAATGCAGTTTTAAGGAGATTGGAGCAGAATTGGATCTTAGTGGGGAGGAGACTGAGGACGTGGCCATGGAGATGAGTGGAGCTGATGAGGTGCTGATGAGTTGACTCAGGGGTGATGTCATGGGCAGGGCCAGCTCCACACTGCTGCGGGCTCCTCTCACTATCCCCCCCTCTCCCCCACTCACCCTCTCTCTCTTCTGGATTGTTCACATTTCCTCAGAAATGTCTTTTTGTCTGTATTTTAGTTCCTGTCCCTTAGAGCACATGCTATCAGACTCTCATCATTGATGCCTGGATTCATGCAATCCCATCCCAGGTGCTGTCTCCGATTCTGTCATGTGCACATTACCAATTACGTCACCAATCTTAGAACCCCAAGTCCTGTTCTTACGAAGTTCCCACTCTGCTGGTGAAAGCTCTCACTGCCCAGTGCACAACTCTACTCCTCATTCTGCCTCTGTAGTCCTTCCTCCTCACGTGCACGTTCAAATCCAGCATCACTTCCCACTCCCTGATACCAGTCCTCCCGGGGTCAGGCTGATCCCTTCCTCACACCAACCCTGCAGGTGCCTCCCAGAGTCCAGGTTTCTATGCAAAAGCTATTTTCTTCATCACATGTGCCCTGTACATGAGACAATTTCACCAAGTTTGTGGAAAAGTAGATAGAAGATAAGACTGCTTTGGTGCAAGAAAATTGAAATATCTGCATAGTTTTTCATAGCACACATTTTCCTTTAACTTTTTGAGGACTTCCCCATATTTCCTTCATGCAAAGTGTTTGCATACTGACTCATCAGTTGCATGAGACCCTCACTAAAGTTGTATAATGATTCTTAGTGGGCCAAGGAGTAAATGTCTTAAATCAACCAACCTGGTTGGTAAATGACTTATAAAACCCATGTCTCCCTCACCACACATACATGAGAGAACCTGGGCAGTCCTCAGCACCCTCTGCCTCACATGGAGACCCCAGCACCTACTTGAGAGAGTTCTGTGAGGACTGAATGGGTCAAGCCTACACAGAGTGCGCCCAGCAAAGGCATGGCTCAGCCCTGATGCAAACGCACGAACATCACTTCACCTTGTGAATTGTTGTGCTCCACGTGAAAAGCCTTTGCTTCCTTATGGCTCAGGGAGACACACAGGAGATAGGAAACAGGACTGTCCCAGGATGAAGTGGCTCTCACTGCTGTAAGGGTTGAGGCAACTTTTCTCACAGCCAATTGAGCGACACAAGAGGTTCTTCCTCTTCCTATACAATGGTATGAATAAGGACTCCTAACAAGCCAATAGAACTCTTCCCAGTAGAAAGCTGGCCTGGGAGAAGAAAGGGAATGTGTCCCTTTTCTCCACACATTTTACGTAGCTGCTGTCCCACGAGCATCCAGCTCACCAGGAACATTGCTTCTGGAGATGATGGGGGGAGGGGCTGCTCTACTTGGGCATAGACTGGGTCAGAGCCCCTCACCTCCACTGCTGCTGATGGTTTATGTGAAAAGTAGCTCTGAGACTAACACGTGGTGGAAGCTGTAACCCCAGACACGGAGGGAATCACTGTGCTGTGCAGAGGATGAAATTCAAGGCCAGGTGGGAGGATGGGAGCCCAGACAGCATCACTTGGAGGGCACCCCTCAGAGGAAGCAGAGGATCTCATGTGGGGTCCAGAAATCAAGATAGCAGACCTCCAAATAGTCAGGCAAAAGTGACAGCAGTGTGGAAGGCAGGGAAGCCTGGCCGCCACTGCTTAGGGGGTTGATCAAGGACACGCAGGAGGGCGAGGGCGTCCCACACAGGAAGCAGGTCTGCAGACATCACACACAGGTGCTGTGGGGGTGGCTGTTAGACACCCATGAGCTCCTTTTGCTCTGCACTCTGTCCTGGCTGTGGATTCATGGCCTCCACTTGCCAATGGGGACCAGGCTGGCAGCGACAACAGAGCTCCAGATGTGCCTGACCTCTGTGCCTACATCTGTCTGAGCACCTGGTATAAGCTGAGATGATCTGGGGCCTGTCTGTAGACGCATCTCAGCCTAGCAGAGCAGGTGAGCACAGAGAATGTGGATGCGCCTGGGAGCACCTCGATGCACCTGCACTGTGATCAGTGAATTCAGTGCCCACATCTGAAGGAGCCGACTTCAGGGTCATCAGGCAGGAAAGTGGTACTCCTGAGAGGATCCAGATCTGTGGCTACTCTTGACCTCATGAACCATATTTACAGATACAAATGCCCACCTCTATAGATTTTCCTTTGCTCATCAGCTTCCAAACACATCTCACTACCTGGAAGCCAGTGATTCCAGTTCTCCATCTTCCTCCATCTCATGGTTTTCTGGAAAAAAAAAGCACCAATATCCAGACTGACATTCAATAGCTCTGCCTTGCCTGGTGCACACACAGCAGCTCCTGGGCAGGGAGACAGAGCTTGTCTGAGTGAGCTAAGAAAGCACCTGCAGAACTGCACTGAATGACCTCATCTGTTGTGTTTAGGGAGTGGCCTGGGCTGGTAACACAGACCCACCACGCAGAACATCCCCGGTTTAGTAGCTCATCATCATGCCAGGTTCTAAGTTTGATTTGGCAATGTTAAAATATATTCAGGTTGGGGCCAGCGCTGTGGCACAGTGGGTAAAGCCGCTACCCGCAGTGCTGGCATCCCCTATAGGCGCCAGTTTGAGAATCAGCTGCTCCACTTCTGATCCAGCTCTCTGCTATGGCTTGGGAAAGCAGTAGAAGATGGCCCAAGTCCTTGGGCCCCTGCACCTGTATGAGAGACACAGAAGAAGCTCCAGGCTCCTGGCTCCAGATTGGCGCAGCTCCAGCCATTGCGACCATCTGGGGAGTGAACTATTGGATGGAAGACCTCTCTCTCTCTCTGCCTCTCCTTCTCTCTCTGGTAACTCTGACTTTCAAGTAAATAAATAAATCTTTTTTTTAAAAAAAATATGTTTAGGTCTCCAAATCACTGGATACTGGTCCAGTTTCTTCTGGATTTCTCACCATAATCTTCTCCTCCTACAAAGTTACTTCCCCTTCACACACAGATCCTATTTCTGTCCCTAAGAAGAAGCTAAAACTCTATGTATCACCCCAGTAGGCATCGGGACTTCAAAGTGGCCACCAACTAGGCTTCTGCATTGCAATGGGGAAATCTCCCTTCACAAAGTGTGCTAGAAAAAAACCAACATTTCTACAGTAGATGCTGCTATTTTAACTAAATCCATCCCAAAGGGTTAGGGGTTCACAAATTACAATTTAAAAATACTTTGTAAGGATCAGTTGTTTGTCACAGTGGCTAAGCTTTCACTCAGAATACCCACATCCTATTTCAGAGCACCTAGGTACAATTCCTGGTCCCATTTTCCTTTCCAGCTTCCTGCTAATGTGCATGCTAAGAGGTAGCAGATGATGCCTCAGTACTTGGTTCCCTCCCATCCATGTGGGAGACCCAGGATGAGGTCCCTGGTCCCAGCTTTGTCCTAGCCTAACCTTGGTAGTTGTGTATATTTGGAGAATCAATAAGCAGGTGGGAGTCTCTCTCTCTCTCTCTCTCCCTCTCTCTCTCTCTCGTTTTCTCTCTCTGATTTTGAATAAATAAAAATTACTGTACAAGTGGGTAAGGATTTCACCATTTTTAGTTCATTCATGGACAGCACCTCACTCTGTTGTTTTTTTTTTTGTTTGTTTGTTTGTTTGTTTGTTTGCCTTTTTTAGCTCATTCATGGACAGCTCTGTGTTACAGCTGTGAAGCAGCATTCGGTTGACCCATTTTATAGAAGAGGAAACAGAAACCCAGGAGGGAGAAATTGATCTGTTGTCCACATTTGGTAAAGACAGCACTGAGGGCAGAGCTGGACCTTCTCCTCTCAGTCCAGGCTCTTCACCCTCTAGCAAGCTGCCCGTTGTCCATCACCACTGGGTGGATGCTGCATCCTGCTCCAACAGCCACATTACCTCAGGGAGGCTGGGGACGGTGGGGAAACTGCATCCTCCCAGCCAGGGTCTTCTCCTCGCTGTTCCCACCCAGGCTGTGCTAATCTTGTGATTGCCCCAAATGTGCGGTGGAATCCAGTGTAGCTGCTAAAACATCGTTGGTGCAGGTGCACAGCAGCTCCGGGTGTTCGGTCACCTGGGCAGAGCCTGAGGGTCAGGCTCTGCCTTCTGCCAGCTTGCACGCCTCTGCCAGCTTCTCTCTAAGGCCCTGGCCCTGGTGGCTGTGAGACTCGTCCTGGGAGAGGAGGCCCTTGAGACGTGCATAGAGGACGAGGCTGGCATCACTGCCCCCCACAGCTTCTGGCGTAACTGAGTCAGCTGTCGTCCTGAACTTGAATTAGGAATTGGCTGTCCTAGGTGGGGTACAGGAAATTTCCAGAATGGGATCTGAGTAATGATGGGTGATGCAGACATTGAGAAAGGATTCTGGGAATACCCACAAAGCCCTCCAAGTGTGACTCTGGCTGAGTTTTCTTGGGCTCTGCCTTTTCCATCTCTTTAGGCATTTGACAGGCAGGGGCCCAGTGAAAACACCCCTGTGCGTGGCAGACTCCCAGAGGCCCTGTGACAACCAGGCCTCCTTCTCTCCATGTGGGGAGGAGATGGAGATTTTTATTTTGCCTGGTGACTTTTCCAGCAACGAAACACCTGCCAGCCAGCTAAGCTGAACCATGTAGAAAACAGCAGTACACCTCACTCTGGCCTTCACCTTCACAGAAGAGAACAAGTACAGGGCATGCCTAGACCAGGTTAGTTCACTTGGGCTGAGACGGACGGTACAAACCCCAGAGAGCACAGATGATGCAGATTGGTGGCGTGAGTGAAGCCAGGCAGCTTCCCTGAAGGCTTTTCCCAGAAATGTGGCTGCCTTTGCCCTCTCCTGTTTCTTGCCTGCTCCCACTCATTTTTCTCCTGTCCATGGCCTCCCCTGAACTCTGTTGTTACCTGGGTATCAGAGAGTTCAGTGATCCTTGATCTTTGTCTTTCTCACACCCATGAAAACCTGCAAAAGGAAGGAGAGGGTTGGAGTTTTGTGGCCTCTATCCCAGTAGGTTCCCCCTCCTCTGACTCAGGCAGTCCTGATCTGCCTAGGCCTCAATTGCAATGGGAGAGAGGACAGAGCTGCAAATGCTGCTCGTCTAGTGCAGTCTCCTGTGTGCTGGGGACCTTGGACAGCTCTCTGTCAGGGCCTGTGACCGCCTTACCTTGGCTGGGCTTGTGGACAGGGTGCTTTGCCAGCTTGTGTCCCTCTGCCAATCACTCTTGGAAGCCCTGGACCTGGCAGCTCTCAGAGCCATCCAAGGTGAGAAGATCCCGAGATGCTTATGGAGTGAGAAGGAGGCATCTCTGCCTTCCTGCAGCTGCTGCTTTAGTTGGGCCAGGTCTCATGCCTGAACTTGTGCTAGAAATTCAAGTTCCCTGAGGTAGGGTAGAAGGGAAGATTTATAGCTGGAAGTCAGTGAATGACAGGCTGTTGCACCTTTGACAGAATATAAGAATAATCCTTTAAAATATTCAAAACAAGATTCTGTTGCACTCTTGGCAACTGCACATAAAGCTATTTTCATGTAAAGTACAGGAGCCAGAGTCGCTCCTGAAAAATTGTAAACTTCAAGTTCTTGTGTCATCTGGGTCTTTTTGGCCTAATTTTGTGCCATGAGTTTTTTCTGGGTCTAGTTACCTTCCCTGCTGTGAAGTCACTGCCAATGACCTCAAATGAATGCATCCTGCCTTCTAACCACACAGGAAGAGACGTGATGGGGTCTGAAGTCCAGGACATCTCCCAAGACTGGTTCAGACTGACTCTGCCAGGACTAGAAAGGGGATACAGGACCTTGTGATGAGGGCTACGTCATCCTTCGTTGGTGAATGAAATTGGACAATCAGCATTTGCACTGCAAATGGGCTCCACTGCTCTTTGGTCTCTCTAGGTCCTGTCTGGGTCTTACCAGTCCATGTTATTCATGTGGGACAGGGGTTCTCTCTCTCCTTCATCATCTTTGCCATCATCATTTTCTGTGGATGAGAAATGTACAGTCAGAAATGGAGTGATTCTGCTTCACTGTTTATAAACACAGTAGCCTTTCTGCATATGAAGTCATTTATAAATGTCGATGTATGACTTAGGACACATTGAGGGAATCATACTCAAGAATCTCACATTTCATCTTGTTTTTAATATTTATTTATTTATTTGAAAGGCAGAATTACAGAGAGGCAGAGGCAAAGAGAGAGAGGTCTTCCATCCATTGGTTCATTCCCTAGATGGTCGCAATGGCCAGAGCTGTGCCAGTCTGAAGCCAGGAGCCAAGACCTTCTTCCAGGTCTCCCATGTGGGTGCAGGGGCCCAAGAACTTGGGCCATCTTCCACTGCTGGCACTTCAAGTGGCGGCTTTACCCAATATACCACAGTGCCAGCCCCTCATTTGTCTTTAAATTAATGACCTGACCTTGTTTGACAGTCCTCAAGACAAATTGTCTTTGGGCTGGAGTGTCATCATCATGGCCATTTCTGTCTAAATGTGGGGAAAATTAAAAATGTCTATTGCTGGGGCTGGCATTGTTGGGTAGGGTTAAAGCCACCGCCTGCAGTGCCAGCATCCTTTATGGGTGCTTGTTCAACTCCTGGCTGCTCCACTTCCAATCGAGCTCTCTGTTATGGCCTGGGAAAGCAGTAGAAGATGGCCCAAGTCCTTGGGTCTCTGTACCCATGTGGGAGACCAGGAAGAAGCTCCTGGCTCCTAGCTTCCAACTGGCCCAGCTCCAGCCATTACAGCCATTTGGGGAGAGAACCAGCAGATGGAAGACCTCTTTTTTTCTCTCTGCCTCTGCCTCTCTCTCTGTAACTCTGCCTTCCAAATAAATAAAAATAAATATTAAAAAAGGTCCATTGTTCCCCACATCACCAGATATTGTCCAGCATCCCTCTTGATGACTCCATCCTATCCCTTTCCTGCTACAGAGGTTGGTACCCAAGCATAGGCTCTGTATTTCATCACAGCTTTCCTATGGAGATGATCCTCTCCTCTAAGAAAAAAATCAGCCCTACCCACAGTACACACCTCACCGTATGTACACCACAAGTCAGAGAAAGAAAGAAAGAAAGAAAGAAATTAATTTGGGCTGGCACCGCGGCTCACTTGGCTAATCCTGTGCCTGCGGTGCCGGCACCCCAGGTTCTAGTCCTAGTTGGGGCACCGGATTCTGTCCCAGTTGCTCCTCTTCCAGTCCAGCTCTCTGCTGTGGCCCAGCAGTGCAGTGGAGGATGGCCCAAATGCTTGGGCCCTGCACCCGCATGGGAGACTGGGAGGAAGCACCTGGCTCCTGGCTTCGGATCAGCGCAGTGCGCCAGCTGTAGCAGCCATTTTGGGGGAAAGGAAGACCTTTCTCTCTGTCTCTCTCTCTCTCTCTCACTGTCTAAATCTGCCTGTCAAAAAAATAAAAAATAAAAAATAAAAAAAAGAATAAACAACAACCCTAACCCTAATTTCCTCAAAAACCTGGGGAGACTCTTAGCTTCTGTTCTGACATGTTGGAATCTTTGACGTCATTTGTCCTATTCTGGTAATAAGAAAAATTTTGAACAAGCTGAAAATCAACTACTCTTACATACATGAGAGAGAGAAAAAAGGAAAACTGTCACAAAACCTGGTTACATTCACAGGTTATAACAAAAAATTGCTACTCTGCCCGGGAACTCAGGGGTAGGAAGCTACATGGGAATTTGTACTAGAACAGGAAAACCCAAGGTGTAATTGACTAATTGATGGAAGAGTGATGTAGAGGTCTAGGGGGTTAGAGAATCAGGAGGATCAACAAAGCTTTGTCAGTTTTAATCCAGGAGTCTTTGGAGCTTTTCACACTGAAGACTGGGAGAATCCTTGCATGTTTTGCAGGGGTAAGTTTAAAACAGAGTGGAAGGCACATTTAAAACTATATCCAAAGGTGCTGACAATGTGGCACAGCAGGTTAAGCCACTGGTTGCAACGCTAACAACCCATAAAAGCATGTGCTGGCTTGAGTACTGGCTATTTTGCTTCCAATCTGGATCCCTATAATCTGCCTAGGAATGTAGCAGATGAGGCTCTAGCACTTGGAACCTCACCTCCCACATGGCAGACCCAGATGGAGTTCCTAGTTCTCGACTGGCCTGGACAGTCCCAGCCTTTGTGGCCATTTGTGGCCATTTTGGGAGTAAACCTAAATTTGTATATATGAAATGTATAAAGTTTTTATACCTTAAATAAAATGTTTCTAGGTAATAAATAAATAAATAAAATTAACTTTAAAAATAAACAATGCATTCTGTTCCTGCTAAGAGAAAATTAAAAAAAAAAAAACTGGAAATTTACTGGATACTTATTGAATTGTAGGAAGGGAAATACCCAAGACCATTTATCCCAAGCCTTCTTTCTTCCATTAAGATGGTAGGTGAAATACCAAAAAGTATGTGTGAAGATCAAGGCCAGGCCACAGGATAAGTTAAAAAAGATAACATAGAAACATAGGACTACAGAATGCTTCCCTTCATACTATACCCAGGCAACATATTAGTTGGGTTCTTGTGTAATATCAGGGAGGATAAAAGACAAACAACTATATACCCAGAACTTATGAAAGCAGAAGTCTCCCAACTTGACTCTCACTGGGATTAAACATGACAATAGGTCTGATCTGATTTCATCATCATTTAAAAAAAATCATCTATTATTTTTCACTTTATGTTTCTGTGTGGGAGCAAACTGTTGAAATCCTTACTTAATGTATACTAAGCTGATCTTCTGTATATTAAGATAATCGAAAATGAATCTTGATGTGAATGGAAGGGGAGAGGGAGTGGGAAAGGGGAGGGTTGTGGGTGGGAGGGACGGTATCGGGGGGAAGCCATTGTAATCCATAAGTCGTACTTTGGAAATTTATATTCATTAAATAAAAGTTAAAAAAAAAAGAAAGCAGAAGTCTCAAGAAAAACCGAGACAACTAAGGATATGAAAACAAGAACAGAATATGAAAAGTTAGCTGTTTATACATATAGCTATAACAGTCACTAAACTCAGCTTAAACTTTAACCAGATAACCAGAAAATATCACCAAAAGACATACTGATCTCAACTCATGTCACCCAGTACCCAGTATCATTCTGGCTCTTAAGTAAAATAAAACAAAACAAAGACACAAGGGATTTTTAAGAGACAGATCCAAGAATCAGAGTCACACTCAACTATGACAGATATCTCAGAGTTATCATACAGCATGGACTTTAGTAGGGAAAGTGGACAACATGAAAAACAGATGGATAGGCAAACAGAAGATGGAAATTCTTTGCATGAATTCAAGAAAGGCTAGAAATAAAAACAACATAACGGAACTGAAGAGTGCTTTCGATGGGCACATCTAGTAGCGTGACTGTGGAAGGAATCACTGACATTGGTCAGGGGCATGGCCTTCGGGAACAACTGGACAAGGGGTGCAAGCTGGAGGAACATCTTTTCAGCAACTTTACCCCAGGTAATGCAAAAACAGAACCTGATTACACAGAGATGGTCCAAAATGTCAACAGAAACTTCTGCAGTGAATTACAAAGGGGAAAAATAATGGGAAAAAAATGAAAAAGCATAATGTCCAGGAGCTATGAGATGTATATGTTTAGGTGCAACACAAGCATAGCGGAGCAATGGGGAAAAAGAGAAAGGAACAGAAGTGTAGGAAATAATGCTAACTGAGAATGCCATGAAATTGATTATATGCTAAACCACAGACCCAGGAAGCATTGAGAACAGGAGGCAGGATAATTATCAGAAATCTTCAGTCACACTATGCTGCAACTTCAGAAAATCAAAACCAAAATCTTAAAACAGGACCTGGAGTGTCTCCACCATGGCCATTTCTGCCTAACATGGAGAAAGTTAAAACTGTCTATTGTTCCCCAGGTCACCAGATATTTCCAGCATCCCTCTGGACGACTCCATCTGTCCCCCACTCCTGCTACAATAATGGTGCCCAGGCACAAGGCTCTGTATCCATCACAGCTTTCTCATGGAGCCAATCCCTTTCTCTAAGACAAAAAAACAGCCCTAACCACATCACACCCTCCTGAGGATCTTACAGGACCACATCAGCTTCTACAGCACTAAGTGGGAACATTCTCTGCAGGGAAAGTATTTCAAGGTGAACCTCTATGTCTTGTTCCTTGACCAACTCCACCTAGTGAGAGTTGCCAGCATTTTGGAGTGCATTAGTGAATATTCCTGATTTTGGTGCTGCAGCTACCATGAAAGGTATTCAAAACCCATGTCACATATCATAGGTGAATAATCAGAAGTTTAGAAAGGATAAATCTGAAACTTACCCACTCTGAGAAAAGACAGCACCAATGACAGAATGTAGGGAACTGTCACTGTTAGTCCAGGGCTTTCTGTCACCCTACAAACACCTTCTTCCCTCAATGTTGGCCTGCACTCCTGTGTGTCTCCTCTCTCCCTTCCCATCCAGACAATATTAGTCTTGCCATGGCCCCAAACACGATGTGAAAGGATAAACCTGGTAAAATCCCCTTAGTAGAGGTGTGGAGTCCTTTGGGGGCCAGGGATCGTAGAGTGTCTTTGTATAATCAGGCTCCACACTTGCTGTACTTGAGGTAACCTTGCTGGAAAGGTGTTCTTCCATCTTGCACCCTTGTCCAGTTGTTCCTGAAGGCCCTGCCTCCCAACTGATGTCAGTATCATCCTGGGTGAAGAAAACTGAGACGCTGATTGCGAACCAAAGAGGCATCTTTGCCTTCCTGTAGCTGTGGGTATATCTGGGCCAGATCTTGTGCCAGATCATAAATTAGGGCATCATATTTCCAAAGGTAGGTAGAAGAAAAAGCATCAGAGTGTAAAATATCAGTGATAAGGACATAAGAGAGATTTCTGTGAGTACATCCTCTGTGGGCCCTCAAATGTAAATCGACCTCTGCGTACATTATTTTCTTTATTTACATATAAAAGCCAGTGAAATCCTGAGCCATTGTACAC